CTCTCCTGTAGAGCTAATGGCAAGGCTGAGGGAGATAATGCTCCTGAAAGCACACTGATGGTGTAGACTTAGAAGGCGTTAAAAGTGCTGGTGCTATGGTTCAGTGCAACACAAAGTAGAAAGCGATAAAGCAAGACATCTACAGGGATTCACAGACTGTCAAGCTGAGCAAACATGTTGTGGGAGCTGGAAGGGGTTCATATCTCATCTGATTCTCTTGAGAGCCTCCCATGACTTCTGAGCTGAGGATTGTGTTTCTTCCTCCTGCCCTGGGTGTGAAGAGTTGGGAGACAGGTATTGTCAGGGTCTTATATATAAGTAGATGGCTCTCATTTTCCACTGTTTTTTGTTTTTGTTTTTGTTTTTGTTTTTGTTTTTTTTCGGTGAGTATTGGTGTCCCAGGTTTCCTCTTATTAACAATCTAGTTGTCAGTCTGAGCCCATTTCAGTTGCTCCTCTGAACATTGCAGCCCATCTCACTGTTGACACAGCTTCCGGCTTGCGGACTGTGAGCTCAGCCCCTGGAGTGGACAGCTCAGATCAGCAGACTAGCAAGGAGCCTGGGAGTCCATCCGTGAGATAAACACTTTACAGAGCTAATCAAAATAACTCTGGTTCTCCAGGAGCTAGTTTCTCACTTTTTTTTCTGGTTGTTTGGTATGATCACCACTTTTGAGGATTATGGAAGACAAAGGGGGTCTCCTTCACACATACGTTTCCTTAGAAAAACTTAGAGCAGGAGGTGTCAACCAGAGGGAGACGTTGGAATCGGATATACAGAACTTTATCTCCACCTTCATAAGCTCTTCAGCTGGACCTGAGAATTACACTGACATAAAACAGATTAACAAGGTAGAAGCATTCAAGTCTATTTAATGTAAGTTTTACGTGACACGGGAGCCTTCATAGGGAAACCAAAACCCCAAGAGGTGGCAAGGCCTAAATTCTTTTCCACTAGATTGAACAAAGGGAGGCAACTGTGGAAAAGTTAAATATACGGGGAGGCTAAAGGAAGAGAAGAGTGATTTTGACAAGGTCTGTTTGTGCAGAATTCTCTGGGCCTTTGACCCCCTCTTTCTCTGGAGATAAGAATGTCTCTTTTCTCCTACTATAGGAAGGGCATCTCTCGCCTGGGAGTTTTCTCCTGTTTTTGAGAAGAAAAGGGGAGGAGGCTCAGCGCAAGCTTCTTGCACCTGCTGTTTTTCAAGTGCCTTTAGCTCAAAATAATCTTAATGCCAAAGTGGCATATTTGGGAGTAGCATATTCTGCCACCCTTCAGTGGAACCGGAACACCCAAGTACTCGTTCTCAAAGATTCTGATCCTGGGGTGGGGGTCCAGGCATCAGAATCCTTTAAAGGTCCCAGAGATGTTGAACCTCTGGGTCAGAATCACAGGAGGTGTGGGAGTTTCCCATTGACTTCCTGCGCCCCATTTAGTAATTGGACCAAAATGGCTGTAATGGCTGAGAACTGATTTGCAACTGCTTGGGAACATGTGGGCAGCTGGGGAACGTGCGGCAGATGCTTCCCAAGGAAACACGTTCACTGTGAATGGAGAGGGGTGGGTTTTGATACCAGCCTGGCAAAGAGATCAGAGCCCTGAGGCACATCAGAACATCAGGCATGTGGTCCACTTTACTCTCAGCAGGTCCCCAGAACTTGCTTCCCCCTAACCGAAATAACCATCAGCTGATAGACCTGCAAGCATTCAAAGTTGTGCTCTGAATTCATAGATGAGCTTGAGGAAGAAAAAGAACCAAAATAGCTTGTTTTGAGATAGACACACGGGGAGGTGAGTGATCCAGCCTGAAAAGTCAGTCAGTTCTCCTAGAGACTTGTTCCAAATGTTCAGCAAATGTGGGTGCTTGTCTCAGCTGCTCTGGCATCCCTGGGGTCTAAATACAGCAAGCATCAGCCTGCAGTTTGCCAGTTCTCCAAAGTCAGACTTTCAGAAACACTTTTTTGCCCCACTTCTACTTTCAGATTAGGTAGAAAATGTTTACATAAGAGGTTTCATTGATTTTAACTCCCATAGATACATGATTCATAACAGATTCTCTGGGGAAAGGATTCCAGTGAGAGTGGAAATCTTCTCCTTTTTCCTTCCATTCCACAGGGTCTGAGCACAGTCTAACCTGCACTCCTTAGGGATGTTAGTAGGTTGATTTTCGTGTTTACATAGGATTGGCACTGCCTGTCCTTGACTCTCACAGGAAGAACTGAGGAAATGAATCTCCCCAGACACCAGCTTCCCTCTCTGATTAGTGAAGGGAAAAGCTTTTGAGTTCCTTTAGGGCTGGGATGCAGCCTCATTCACTGTTGTATTTCCAGGGCTTGGCGGAGTGCCAGCCTCAAAGAAGGCACCAGATAAACCTTTGTTAAATAAATGTGTGGTATTAAATGCCCACGTATTTATTATGCATTTGGCATCCAGCATTGGTGGTTGATCTACATCCTGAGAGCTGTTTGTTTACATCAACATTTTCCTATTTGAACTGAGAACCACTAATTGGATCATGTTGGTGGAACTGACTTTAAAGGGCAGCCTGAGACAGGCAGAGGCCATATCAGATGTCCTGAAGAGGTGTGATTTTAACTTCTGCTCTCAGTTCTGAGCTGTTGTGGGGACTTGGTAAATATTAATGAAGCATGAGGCTGGAGCTATATTGTGAGGCTCCTGGGAGTCTGGAACGTGGTAATGGCTTTCACGGTGCTATCCAGAGGGCAGCCCAACTCTGACTTTCTGGCAGAGAACGTGACTCAACCAGACGGCAAGATAGAGGCTTCATACTGCCCAAGCTGGCTGGACAGCCCTGGCAGCAGCCAGTCAGTGTCTGCTCTGGGCAAAGCAGAGGACACCTTTGGGGAGGACACAAAGATGACTCAGACATAGATGCTGCAGGGAACCGTGGAGATCAAAATAGCACCTTCCTCATAATTTGTGAAAATTAAATGAAATGATGTAAGCAGAACAGTTTAGCACAGGGCAGAGAGAGGCAGAGTAAGTATCTAATACATCATGAGTGCGTTTAGAAGCATCCAGTACATTACCCGTGTGTTGATACAGATAAGGTCTGGAGAGCAATTTAATTGTTATACAATTTGGGGCCAATGAAGTGTTTTGTTGTTTTTTTTTTTTTTTAAGTAACACAATCAGATCCATGAGGGAGGGGTGGGAGTGTAGCAGGGATGAACTTGGAAGATATTTGGATGATGATAAAAAAAAGAATTAGAAAGAGAACTTCATTTTACAAACTGCTATATTAAAAAATACATTTTAAGGGTCTTTTCTGAATGAAGTCAAAGTCTTGAATCCATTAAATACAGCCTGGCTCTACTGTGGCCAGATGTCTAAACCAGTTTTTTGAATTTTAGGGAAATAGATAGCACCTTCAAGTTAAGTTAGCAGTGTTTACTAAGAACGTTATATTTGACTATAATTATTGGCACCAGAAAGTCTCATGCTCAAAAATGTCTCTTCACTTCTACACATTTCACCAAATTAGATGAACAAACTCTTTTAAAACGCAGTAGCTTAAGTGGTTTTGTTAAGAAAAGTCTAGGTCCATGGCTAGAAGAGCACAGGGGTAGGGGATGATGGTAGCGGAAAAAAGGAAGATTAAAAAACGAATTATGTGGGATTTGTAAAAAGTATATATAAATCCTGTAACACAAACGTTCGTATGTTCATAGAAGTTGGTGTTCACCTTTAAAACTCCAACTCTGGGTTGCTTATCCGTTTACTCCAAAGAAATTGCCCTTTTCCTCTTCCCTGCACCTCGCTGACATAATCAACTGAACTTTGTCTTTTCTTCCCAGCCCCTCTTTCACTTACAAACTGGGCAGAAAGGGGAATAAGGCGGGACCCCCCACCCCCGATTCTGTCAACGAATTTTGCACCGTGCTCGGAGAAACAGAACCTGGCTTTGCCCCCTGGAGGGTTTATGTGCGGGAATGGGTGAAGAGTTAGAGCCACAAGTAGCTACAACATTGTGTGACTGAGATTAAGGACCAGTAGGACACAAAGGAGGGACCGATTAACTCGATCCGCACGTGTGTCGGAAACGCGTTCAAGGGGAGGCAACTTCTGAAGAATTTCGAGGCTGGGGGCGGGGAGGACAGGAGGGGACCGCAGAGGAACCGCAAGCTTGGGGGCTGCAAAGAAGTTCCCGACTGGGGACAGAGGGATTGTCAGGACTAAGTGGGCAGGGGCCAGCCCCGAAAAGCAACTTTGTTGAGTATCCATCATCTGTAAGAAATCAGTTACACGGCTCAATTAACTTAACTCGGGAACTCAGTGCGCCTTTCAGTGACTCCCACCGCGGCGAAACCACCGGGTTCCCAGGGCCGCGGGACCCGCGAGCGGGACAGCCTGGTGGAAGCTGCTG